TTCTCTAAACTAACAAAATAATGGGAAAATGTGTATAAGTTGAGATTTAAGTTTATTATATTCGTTTATTAAATTAGATATTTATTTAGAATTTAATAGTTTATTTTCTCGAATAAAACTTTTGATGTTATATAAATTAGCCTCACTCTACTTTGACCTTCTTTCCCATCAGACTGATAAAATTCAATGTACCTTGACTCCCATGAATTCCACAAAGCCAACCAATCAGACTAACTTGCAAGTGCGAGAAGCTCTCGCCATTTTTGTGTGCGGCATTCGTCAGGCAGTCTGTGTGCGTCTGAGGCTATTTTCTCCTTCCGTCTTTCCATTACTGACCCAGATGTTTTGGTTGCACAAGCACTCTGTCTGCTGCCTCCTGGATGAATTAAGCTGGCAGTAACCGTGCCTTATGGATGCCCGATTTATTATTAGTTCTTTGCTGTAGGCTGATCTTCTCTTCGTTCTCAGTGTGTGTTCACATATAGTCCAGTTTCCATCTTCCAGGAAACTCGCTTTGATTTTTTTCTGATTGTTGCTACAGCAACTGTTATTTGGCCATTAGTTGGCATGACTACTGGTTTGAATTTGGGTCTTGAAATAGGACTGCACATACTTAAAAGCATTACACACACATACAGGAACCCACACTTCCTCTGCTCGGTTGCACAAGTTCTTTGTCCCCTTCGTTTGCATGCTTTAAAAACGTGACCTGCAGCTCAGTGCATTTTAAAACCATGCTGCATGGGGCAAAGCATGCAACTGTGCATGCATCTACGTATATCTTTAGTGTCAGGAAATGGACCTGTGCTTGTTTCCTCGACATGATATAAATGTTCATTACCTACTTTTGGCCATAACATTTGCATTTGCACCAATGTGAAAATGTGAATGCGGACCTTTTGAGGTGAGGGTGTCGAAACACGGATGGACCATGAAAAATTGCAAGGTGTGAGCATGTAAATACACTTCCTGTGTGATAGAGAATGTGTTCATTTGTTAGCGGCCTTATCCGTGAGTCACATGATGCACCTGCTGAGGACATTTGGGAGAGATGAACTTTGTGTTCGTTCTCTTCTGTCATAATCATGATAAAACTTTCCATGTTTTATCATTAGCTCATGGTGCTACACCTGAAGTGTATAGTATTAAACCTGCAACATTTTCAAATCACGCAGCTTGTTGAGGAGAGATGTGTTTTTACGTTTCTGTTCATTCGATGTGAAGTGCCTTTTCATTCCAGAATCAATTAGACTTCCAGAAACATGAGAAAAAGCTTGAGTCTTATTGGTTTGTGGGTTTTTCTGCTGAGCAAATAGCATAAAATTTATGTACATGGTAAAAAGTCGTTTTATTTTTTTTTTCACCATCTGTGTGAAGGCATCCATTGGGACTTATGGTTTCATTTTAACATTGAAAATCCATGCTAGAAATGCACTCTTGGTGCAAATCTTGATAAGGGTTCTGGATTGCAAACAGTTGTAGGTTCGATCCCATTTGAAGGTGATTTAAGACCTTCAGGGTCACTGATCAAAGCATTTAACTCATAGTTACTCTAGAGTAGAAACTAAATAGTTAAACTGGGCAAAATGTGTGTTTGTGTTATAAATATATAGTGTATGTGTATATATATGTATGTGTGTATATATACAGTGGTGTGAAAATTATTATTATTACTGATAACTTATTTTTTTTGCATGTTTGTCACACTTTAATGTTTCAGATCATCAAACAAATTTAAATATTAGTCAAAGATAACACAAGTAAACACAACATGCAGTTTTTAAATGAGTTTGGATTAAGGGAAAACAAAATCCAAAACTACATGGCCCTGTGTGAAG